GCCACCGGCAGGCCCTCGGCCGCGACCCCGGGTCCCCACATGGCCCGCGCAGACCTTGATCGCGTCCGGGACGCGAGGCCGGGGGGTCCGTCCGTCTGCGTGTCCGTCGGCCCCTCCCCGGCGCTCCGCTCCGGACTCGCGCGCGCCGCCTCCCGCGCCTCCGCTACCTGCGGCCGGAGCAGTCCTCACTTGGCCGCTCTTGGGCGGGAGGAGGAGCCCGAGGCGCGCCGAGGCTGCGGGAGGCGGCCGCTTCTCCCAGCCCGACCAGCCTCCGGAGCGTCTGACCTTAACCTCGCGCGCACAGCCGCCCCGGCCGGGCGCGGGGCGTCCGGAACCGCCCTAAGTGGCAGCGGCGGCCGGCGTGGGGCCGGCGTGGGCATCTTGGCCCCGGCCAGCCGCGCTTCTCCTCCCCTGCCGCGTCGCTTTCCGGGACTGGGGGGGTTAATGCTCCGCGCTCAGCCCCGGAGCCCCCGATCTGGATTAATTCAGCCTTCGCGCTCTTCCCGGCTAGACAGGCGGGGCTCTCGCTCTTGTAGGTGTCTCAGTTTTAAGTGATTGGATTTCCCCGGGAATGCTGTTTAAGTTGACTTGCGACTGGGATTCGCTTGCCATCTCTTGTGATCTTTCTGGGTAAAAATAGATGATGGCCGCTAATGACGAGTGCGGTCCCACTGACGTCCCAGGGTTTAGGCGGTGGGGAGCGCGGGGTAGTTCTGCTTTCAGGGAGTTGGGAAGCCGGGATTCCCAGGGAACCTCCAGAACAGGTAGAGAATTCTTTAAGCTGCTCTGGTCGGGACGCCACAGAAGTAGCCCAGAGGGATAGGGAGGAGCCCTGTCAAGATGTCCTGAGTTGACCAAGCAGAGAAGAGGGGGGGATCTGACAAGCCCCCACTCGTCGCGACTGTGAAAGGAGGCCCCTCCCGGGGCATAAATACCAGGGGAGTTTTAAGTGGTTGGCAAGGTTCCTAAGCCCTGATTTGTGTCTGAAGGGTCCCTGGTAAGGTTATTCTTGTTTGCAAAATTTAAAGGAAGTCTGCGTCCTCACTTAGCGCAGGGGGCAGAATTTACCTGCCTGATGTCACCATCCCTGGGGGAAGCACCTTAGCATACAGCACACAGCAGAGGGATGGCAGCTGTCGCGGGTCGCTGACCCCGCACACCTGCTCCACGTTGGAGTTAACCAGCTCCTTAGACCCCCATCAGCGAGAGCCAAGGACCTGGCCCTTTTTACTAAGGCAGACTGAAATAGAAAATTATTCCCTCACCCCTTAAACGCTAGGACCCCTTGAAGAGAAACCAAAGGGAAAATTCCATAGTCATTGAGAAGGAGAAAAAAAAAAAAAAAGTAAAAGCAAAGGAAAAATAGACATAACAAGGTTTAACTGTGAGTGAGTCAGATAAAAGCTGGTTTCTCCCAGAGCAGCAACGCTGTGTCTTCTTAACACAGTAATGGGTCAAGAAGCTTGGGGACGAGGATTTGACAGAGACACATCAATGCCCAACCTAAATGAAAATATTTTAAATGTCTGTTGCTGTGAACACCCTCTTTACCTAACACTGCAGAATGATCCTTTCTACTCATGGAGAAGCCTCTTAGTGCTGCCCAGACAAGATGCTTTATGGGAAGTTTACTTGAGCACAGGGCCTTTTTTTCCAAGCTTTTCTAAAGCCATCTTCTCTGTGCCATGATTGTTTCTCTGTAGGGAGGCACTGAATGTATTTTGCAAAGCCTGATTGACAATCGGCTTGACAGTGATACGAAAATGATTCATTTTAATACAATGAAAACGGTATGATTTTATTTCATTCACCCATTCTTTTAGTAAATTTACATTTTAGTATTTTCTATGTTGAAGGATGCATCATAACAGAAAAAAACTCCCGACTCCTCCCCAGCATGGAGCACACCCAGCCCTGCACTCCCAGCTTCAGCTACTCGGAGTAAGGGAGAAATTCCACAGGGGAGAATAAATGGCAATTTCCTCTTTGATGATGACTTGTTCTTATTTCCCAAAGGAAAAATAAAATTACTGAATTTCAAACAATTTCTCAGGGATGGAGGCAGTCCATAGCTTGAGATGGGCTTTGAATGTAAAATTGAAAAAATACAAAGCTCTCTCTGGGTTTATAGTACCTGATTTTTTTTAGGATTTCCGCCAGAAGTAGTAAGACCGATGGTAAAAGTGGAGGGGAGTTGCTTGGCTGATGATGCACAAGAGAAAATGCCCTGCTTATTGTTACTCTGAAATTACTAAATGTGCAGCATCTAAATTGTTTTGTTTCTCTCTGCTAAGTAGTTAGAATTTGTTTGCAGAATATTTGGACATGATAGAGGAACAATGTAGATCTTATATAAAAGAAAACGTCAAACAGAGTTACTTATATGAAAACAAAAGAATAAGGTCTGCAAGATGAGTAGGAAATGGATTTTTATTTGTTTTTCTTTCTTTCCAAATTGATAGTCCCAAAGCATCATCCGTTAAAGACCCTCTGCAGACACTGGCGCCTCTTTATGTCTTCTCTGATCTCTCAGTTACACTTAATTCATTTTTATTTGCAGTGTAATTTATTGTGTACAACCCTTTGAAGGAAAGAAAAGAAACCCTATAGCTTTAAAAGCCCCATGAAAGACATGGTCGTCATTACTCAGCACCCCGAGTCTTTTCTTTAGTTTCAACACACAAATAAGGTTTTGGTTTGGGTTCCCGGAGGTTCTTAATTTCAGGTTCTTTGTTGGGGAGGTTGGGTTTTATTTTTTTTTTCCTTGGATTATTCCTTTTTTCCAATTTAAATTGAACCTTCTTTTTTTTAACCTTTGCTTCGGTTTTTTTTAATTGGTTGCAGGAGGGAAAAAAAAAACCCAGATGGTGGGAAGAGATTAACCTTTACCCAAAAAAGCATAGTCTCTTTGAGGAGGACTTGGTAAAGATTAAGAACTCTAACTGCTTTATCTTGCTGTAGAGCTTGGATGTTATTTTCTGAAAAATTTCTCTTCCTGATTTATTTACACTCACATGAATGAATTCCAAATTAGCCATACTTTGCAACTTCCTAGAACAGAAGAAAGTAAACAGAACCTGACAAAACTGGCTGCTATTTTATCTGCGTCCATGGGAGCTGTCCCGTTGGTTTCAGAAAGACCGAGCAGCTCCGTCATGCAATCTTCTGTTCCAGCACATGACACCAGTCTGGAAATTTTCTCCCTGATGTCTGCTGACTGCGGTTGGTGCTTTCAAGCTTGAGAAGTGATACCTCTGCCTTTTCTATGGCCCTTCATCAAAACATCTAGACACGGGCAGCTGGGACTTTGTGAACTACCCAGCCCCTAAAGACCCTTATTCAAGATGGGCAGCATCTTTTACTACTAAGTTGTTATTATAATTGGTGTATTAACCCTTCTCCTTTTATGATTTCCTTCCACTTGCAGAATGTCCTTTCTGAGCAACAGTAAATTAAAGTTTTTATTGCAAATAACATGTATTTGAACAAACATACCCACCTAGAAATGACTTTTGAGTAGAGATAATCTGCTTTGGCATTATTTTCATATATTAATGTCCACATTCATTCTATAAATATTTGATGAAGGCTCCCTCTAAGCTGGGTATTCTGCTCCGCTCTGGGGATGCTATCAAATCACACTATTCCCTGTCTTCAGGTAGCTCACTGAGGGAACAGAGAAAGAACAACATTCAAGCAGTTAAAATAGTGAGTTGATGGTTCCAATGATCAATGCTAGGATGGAGAAGTGCAGGATGCGGTGAATTTTTACACTGGACAGGATCCAGATTGGGAGGGCAGTGTTGGCTGAGAACCCCCCTTCTGATTTAGAAAGGACAATAAAATTAAGCAGAAAGGAGTCTTTCAGACAGGAAACTTCATGGAGACAAGTCCCCAAGGTGGGAAGACCCTTCACATGTCATTTTTTTTTTTTTAAATGATAGACTCTTGCTCTGTCCCTGGGACTAGAGTGCAGTGGGGTCATCATAGTTTCCTGCAACCTCAAATTCCTGCCCCCCGTAATCCTCCCACCTCAGCCTTCCAAAGTGCTAGGATTACAGGTGTGAGCCACCTCACTGGCCACCGCGTGCCATCTCTTATGATTAGGGCAAGATCTGTCACTTCTAACTCAACAGTTTCAACTCTGCTATCCAATTTCTGAAAAATTTCTGCTGTCCAATTTTATTTTTTCATTATTGTTTTATTTATTTATTTATTTATTTATTTGCCATCCAGTTTTAAACTGAACCTGGTTCTTTGTAAGAGTCCACTGGCTTGTGGGATTTTAGTTATCTTTGTATTTGGTCCTGTTCAGCTCCCCTTTTGGAAACCAGGAAAGTTGCAGTGATGTTTCCTGTTCTTCCCATCTCCATGCCCATGACTTGGAGTGGAGTTCAGATTCTCTCCCTCAACTGTGTGAGCCGGCAGCTGGGCCGATGAAAGCCTTCTGCAAGCCAAATGCTGCAAGTAGGAGCAAAGTCTAAGTGAAATGATTTGTATCTTTTGGTTAACTTAGGTGCCAAACGGAATAAAAA